CGCCAAGGGGCTAGGGTGGACTGTCTGCTCCCTGGGGGTCCCAAAGGGGTGACCACAGCAGGTTCCCCAAGTCAACAGGCTTCTGGACATCAATGAGATGGTGGCAGGAACAATGTTGCAGCAGGGAGCCATGGATCTCAACCAGCTGGTCTCCATATGAAGTTTTGGGGTACAAAAGGTTATTCCCAGAGTGGAGGGGTCCATAACACAAAAAGCAAGATAGCAGTTAGTCTAGGAAAATAATGGCACCAATTTGGAAGCGATCCGTTGACCTGCGGATACAGGGGCCCCATGGGTCCCGTATCCGTGGTTCAGAGGAGAGCAGTTTCGGCCTCCCAGGGATGCTGGAAACACATCCCAGGCGAGCTGACAGCAATCTCCGGCTTGGAAGAGGGAAAGTTCATGCTGGAGAGAGTTAGAAGCAGTAAAGGGACACAATGTATCACTATAGAGAGGAAAAGATACAATTAAATGATGCTTTATTGGGGGATTTCTTACAATGTTAGGGTGAGAGAAAGAAAGCAAGGAGAAGCAAGGCAAAAGGACGCTTCTAGTTGAAGCTGCTGCTGTGGCCACATTTCCAGCGACGCTGGCTCAATTGGGCAACCAGGAACTGCGGAACTCCCTGCTGCAGGTCAGATCAGCTTAAAGACAGGGGGCTCTCCATTGCCCACCCTCATGTTTATCTTCTAGATCAGTGGTTCCCAACCTGTACTCTGTGGACCACCAGTGGTCTGCAAGAACTAAAATATGGTCTGTGGCCTCACCATTACTACACCGTTGCAACGAGAGTGACTGGTCTGGCAAAAACCCCTTATAGTGCCGAGGTTTATTAAATATGGTTTTCTGTGGGTGAGCAGATGATGACTACCAGATGGCATATGTTCTACATCAGAAACTAGAGCTGATGTGTTCTATCCAACGCAATTTTCTGAATCAGCACCCCAAATAACCAAGCCGAATCTAAAGTTGACCAAAAACTGATCCGTAACCCTTTTGGTACTAATGTTGGAGAGTGGTCCTGGTCAAGTGGTCCCTGGTCAAAAAAGGCGGGGAACCACTGTTCTAGATAGCCACTTGTCGGGAATGCCTTGATTGTGTTTTCTTGCAGGGCAGGAGTTTGGACTGAATGGCCTTTATGATATCTTCCAACTCTATGATTTTATGAATTCAATATTTAACAGCTTAATATTTTCCTGGTCCAACCAACACAATTATTATCTAGGATAACTTTTTGCTGAAAGATTATCAAGATCAACTGGATCCTGAAGATCTGTAAAAATAAGCTTCAGGGTTAATCCATTATAAAAAGAGTATATGGTAATTATGATGTAAGGCTTTCACTTGAGGGAACAATTAAAACAATTTTAGCTTGAACATGTTAAATGCTTGTTACCCTCAGACCAACAGCATTTCCAGGTAGGATTACATCAACAGCAATTCACAACAGTTAACAGCTGCAAACTGTTTGGTATTCACTTCAGTGGCCTTTGCTTGCACAGGATAATTATTTTAATACAAACATTTATTTTGCAATGTATTATCTAGAGCATCTTTGTCAGAGTAACACAACATTCCTAGAGATATGCAAGCTTCCTTAGGCTTTGCGGGTTAGTGAAATTAACTTTTCAATTTCTTCTAAAAGTTTATTATTTTCTGAATCACTTCCTTCAGATACATGTTTGTGTGGGAAGGGGATAATGTGTAGACTGATGTGTGACTGCTATAGCTAGTTGGCTGATGCACCAGCACAATTTGAGAAAGTGAAAGACCTTGTAAAACTACGTTTCCAATGATTCCATAGTTTTCAGTTAAAGGGATGTCAAACTACATTGAGTCTACAGTGCAGATGCACCCAGAGCTGTACTAGTGAGTGTCTTTTATTCCAAAGCCTGGCTAGGCTTGTAATTGGATTTTGAGGGTTCCAGTCCAACACGCAATTATCTCAAACTGGTAAACACATATTCGGAATCAGTGGGCATACATTCTGATAATGTCACTGGTATCATCTGAAAGCCAAGTGGGCAATTACATATATCTAACTAATCTGAAGTACAGTGTTCCCTCACTTATTGCAGGTGTTACGTTCCAGGACCACCTGCAATAAGTGAAATTCCGCAAAGTAGGGACAAGGAAGTGGAGGAGGAGGGGAGGGGGAGCCAGGCACTGGGCCTTACCCGAGAAAGGAGCAGGGAGCAGTGGAGGCGGCAAGTAAGAGGAGGCCGCTGCCGAAGAGAGCCGCACCGAGGTTCCCCTCTCCTGCTCATCTTCCTCCTCCTCTTCCGCAGAGGCTCCTTGGCCGCTGTTGAAGCCACTGCCAGGCTGAACTGAGGCCTCAGCACCAAGCACGGAAGATCAGGCTTCAGCCCAGCCCGGCAGTGGCGTCAATGGCGGCCACGGGTCCTCTGAGGAAGAGGAGAAGGAAGAGGATGTGGAGGAAGGAGAGCTTTGGCAAGGCCCTCTCCAAGAAAGGAGTGGGGAGAAGTTGAGGCGGTGAGGAGGAGGAGGCAGCCGCTGAGTGGTATTTGTTTTCCCCCCAGTTTTATTACTTTATTACTTTTAAATAAAACCGCAAAACAGTGAGTCCGCAATAAGCGAACTGCAAAATAGCGGGGGAACACTGTAATTTGAGTGTTTATACTATGAATAAGCCTAAAATTTACTTATTTATTTATTGCATTTATATACCGCTTCTCTCACTCCTGGGAAGACTCAAAGTGGTTCACAGCATAATCAATGACAACATTCAGTGCCTCACATTTATTCAATGTCTCATTCACCAAATGCCTGCTTGAATAGACAGGTCTCAAGTTGTTTCCTAAATTTTAGGAGGGAAAGGGCTGATCTAATCTCATTGGGGAGGGCATTTCACAGCCAAGGGGCCACCACCAAGAAGGCCCTGTCTCTCGTCCCTGCCAATCGCACCTGCGAAGGAGGTGGGATTGAGAGCAAGACCTCTCTAGCAGATCTTATAAACAGAGATGTGTTTGGACACGTAAACTACTTGTTTAGACTGCCTTTAAAGTAACTTGCATTGATTGGAGTAAAAAATCCCAGAGCACTGTACCCACACAAGGTGTACTCATATAATGTTTGTTCATTGGGCTTAATTTCTAGGCACACAGTGAAGCATTGAATGTTTGCCATTGTATGTTGGAATCCACACTGAGTCCCCTTGGGGAGACAGGGCAGAATATAAATAACGGTTTATTATTATTATATTATACTAGCTAGGCTATTTGCCTCAGGCATCAAAAGGTCTTGGACAGGTCATTGTGTATTATCTATATTTACCTAGGTTTGTATACTATATATTCATACTTACTGCATGTGGGCTAATTAAAATACCATAAATTTAAAAAAATGTAAATTAAATTGTTAAGGAAACAATAGAAAATGAGTAACCTATATATAAATGTGAAATCCTATACTGAGAGAAGTTTTCATTGTTAAAGTGGGAGTAGACCAGGCATGGACAAACTTCGGCCCTCTGGGTGTTTTGGACTTCAACTCTCACAATTCCTAACAGCCTTGGGAGTTGAAGTCCAAAACACCCAGAGGGCTGAAGTTTGCCCATGCCTGGATTAAACATTTTAAAATTCATTTTTGGTTTAAACAGAGCATTACAAATTAATTTTCACCATCAGCCTTTCCAGTCAAACAACCACAACTTCAGGTGTAGCAAATTTGATTAGGTTATGGATATTTTTAAAGTGACACTAATACTATTCAAACATTTTGCAATCCTGGAGTTTCTGTCATTGAATGGCAGAATGTTTTCTTGGCAGTCAAAGATACAATCATACACATTACAAGTAGAAACACAAGAACATCAAAGTTCCTGTTCGTCACAGTTGGATTAAGACTGTTCTCACAGAGACAGAATTACTTGTTTTAGTTAATCCTGATTTACACTTGCATGTTTTCTTCAGCCTGCTCATAATAGCACTAGGATTACTTGCTCCCAAATGATATCTCATCACTGAGCCTGGAACCCCAGGTCTCGGAGTGGCCAGGAGAGCTTTTGCACAATTAAAGCTTGTGTGCCAGCTGTGCTCGTACCTTGGGAAGTCTGACTTGGCCACGGTGGTCTACGTTCTGGTTACATCCCGTACAGACTACTGCAATGCTTTCTACGTGGGGTTGCCTCTGAAGACTGCCTGGAAGCTGAAACTAGTCCAACGTGCGGCAACCAGGTTACTGACAGGAGCGGGGTACAGGGAGCGCACAACTGGCTGCCAATTAGCTTCCGAGCACAATTCAAAGTGCTAGTTTTAACCTACAAAACCCTAAATGGTTCCGGCCCAGTTTTCCTGTCTGAATGTATTCTCCGCTATGAACCATCAAGGTTGTTAAGATCTTCTGGAGGGGCCCTGCTCTCGGTCCCGCCACATTCGCAATCGTGTCTGGTTGGGACGAGAGACAGGGCCTTCTTGGCGGTGGCCCCTTGGCTGTGGAACTCTCTCCCGATGGAGATGAGATCTGCCCCTTCCCTCCTGACCTTCAGAAAGCTAGTGAAATCCTGGCTCTGGGACGAAGCATTCCCAGAATAATTGGTTGAGTCCAGCAATAACCTAATAGTTATTGACCAGATTTGTGGATTGAGTTGAACTTGATTCTATCTTGGAGATTTGGCTTATATGTATTTATTCTGTCTCTATTTTAGCTTATTATGATTTTATGATGTTTTAGATGTATTTGTGCGTTGAATTTCTGCTGTTAGCCGGTCTGAGTCCCTCCACCGAGATAGAGAAGATCAGGATATAAAAGTTTTAAATAAATAAATAGTTTCTAGCACAATATTTCCCATAGCAGATTATGTCCAACTCTACTTTTCCTTTGAACTTAAAAAAATTCTAGCCATGGATGGTTTTTTGTTGTTGTTGTGTCAGGAGTGACTTGAGAAACTGCAAGTTGCTTCTGGTGTGAGAGAATTGGCCGTCTGCAAGGACGTTGCCCAGGGGACGTTGCCTGGATGATTTGATGTTTTTTATCGTCCTTGTGGGAGGCTTCTCTCACGTGCCCGCATGAGAAGCTGGAGTTGATAGAGGGAGCTCATCCACCTCTCCCCGGATTTGAATCTGCAACCTGTCGGTCTTCTGTCCTGCCGACACAGGGGTTTAACCCACTACGCCACATGGATGGTGGAACCTGTGAATACAAAGGACTGCAACCTTCATCAGTGAATGGTAAATAATGCTGGGAAGTACAGTTCCAGCTGAAGGGGCAGATGATTCCTAGCTGTATTCTAGAACAAATATCAAACAAAATACTATGACCATTTAAAAACACATCATATAAATTTATTCTAGAAAATGAAAATCCTGCTGACCATTTTCTATAGCGATTTCACTATTAGACACATGGACGTTTAATTACTGGGCAGTGCTTTCACCATCTTAGATTTCCTCACACAAGACTTGAGTATCAGATAAGCCAATTCAAGTATATTCAGCAGCAAACAGATGCCTGAAACCGCCAGCATGAATATGGTAAATACAGTTTTCTCAGTGGGTCGGGAAACAAAACAGTCCACTGTGTTTGGACAAGGATAATCACTACATTTGACTAAGTGAGGAAATGTATAGCTTCCATATAAGAAATAGAAAATATATGTGAAGATAGTTTCAAAGATGATTCGGAAGATGATGCTGCTGATGTATGTCCACCAGAAGGCACCCTCAATGTGAAATCTCTGCTTTTTCAGATCTTCAAAATCCACTTTATCTCCAGGCTTGTATTCCCGTTTCTTCTCACGCCTTCTGTAAGCAACATGCATCGCAACCAAAAGTGCAGGAGTGGAGACAAAGATCAGCTGGAGAGCCCAAAGTCGAATGTGTGAGACAGGGAAAAACGTATCGTAGCAGACATTTTTGCATCCTGGTTGTAGAGTGTTGCAAGTAAAATCTTGCTGTTCATCTCCCCAGACTGTTTCTGCAGCAACCACAAGAATCATAATTCGGAAAATGAAGAGGACGGTTAGCCAGATTTTTCCAATGCTGGTGGAGTGACTATTTACCCCTCCCAAGACGTCTTTGAGAGATTTCCAGTCCATAGCGGTGTGTGTCCTTTAGCCTAGTAAGACAAAAAGAATGGGTCAAATGAGAAATGGTTTCATTCCACATTTTATGAACTGGGAAGTCCTGCAATTGGAAGGACTAACATGAAATTTAATTTCTTCTGCTCCCTATCCTTTTTAGGAAACAGTAAAGGTAAAGGTTTCCCCAGAGGCGGCCCTAGGTAATTTTCAATGGTAAGCAAACAGTATTTTGGCGCCCCCCCCCCCCAACCAGTCATTGATATATATTTTCTGTTCATCGTGGGAGTTCTGTGTGCCATATTTGGTTCAATTCCATCATTGGTGAAGTTCAGAATGCTCTTTGATTGTAGGTGAACTATACATCCCAGTAACTACACACGCCGCACTTGCTCCCTTGCCTGGCCCACTTTGGGTCCGGAGGCGTGACTGAAGACCCTGGCGTGTGCACCAAAAGTCACCTCTTCTCCTGACTTTCTCCTCAGCCATTGGGACCAAGAGAGAGAGAGAGACAGAGAGAGAGGTGGAGATGCCCACCTTTCCTGAAGGTAGGCGCAAAAACAAAGGAGGGAGCGGAGGTGGGAGATACCTCCAGCTGGAGGGGCTCTCTCTCTCTCTCTCTCTCTTGGTCCCAATGGCTGAAGAGGAAGTCAGGAGAAGAGCCGACTTTTGGTGCGCACACTGGGGTCTTCAGACACGCCTCCGGACCAGAAGCGGGCCAGGCACGGCGGCTCCACCCCTTAGCCCACCCGCGGACTGGGGAGAGGAGAGCACCGGGGGATCAGGAAAGGGAGCCAGTCATGTAGAAGGGATCGAACACGGAAAACGATTGAGCGCCGGCTCTGCTCGCGCACCCGGTGGCCGGGTGGAGCAGGAACGAGAGGGGCTAGGCGAGGCTCAAGGACCCGACCCTTTTGGGAAGAGGATCGCCCGGCAGCGAGGCAAGAAAGCCAAGGCTCCCCCCGGACTGCTAGGGCTGTTGTGAGCTGAGGGGGCGCTCCTCAAGTGGCGGTCGAGGGGCATTTACAGAGGCGCCTCTGCGCCCCTGGCAAAAAAAAGTGTTCTGCGACCGCTTACTTCGCGTAATGGACGAGCCGCCCCTGGGTTTCCCCTTGACATTAAGTTTAGTCGTGTCCAACTCTGGGGTGTGGTGCTCATCTCCATTTCTAAGCCGAAGAGCCGGCATTGTCCATAGACACCTCCAAGGTCATGTGGCTGGCATGACTGCCTGGAGAGCCATTACCTTCGCATCAGGGTGGTACCTATTGATCTACTCACATTTGCATGTTTTCAGTCAGCTAGGTTGGCAGAAGCTGGGCCTAACAGTAGGAGCTCACCCCACTCCCTTGATTCGAATTGCTAACCTTTCGGTCAGTAAGTTCAGTTCACTGTGCCTCGGGAGACAAACAATTGCACATATTTGTAAATGTTATGGCCAGAATCCTGGATCATATACAGGAAAGGTTGGCAGCCAGATTGTTAACTGGAGCAAGTTACAGGGAGTGGTCAACCCCCCTGTTTAAACAGCTCTACTGGCTGGCATGACTGCATGGAGCGAAGTTACCTGCCTGCCAAGGCTGTACCTATCTATCTACTCACATTTACATGTTTTCAAACTGCTAGGTTGACAGAAGCTGGGGCTAACAACAGGCGCTCACCCCGTCCACTGATTCGAACCGCTGACCTTCCAGTCAGCAATTTCTGCAGCTTAGCGGTTTAACCCGCTGCGCCACCGCGGCCCCTTTTTAAAAGATCCAAGTGCCATTAAAATGCTTTAATAATAGGAAGCACAGACAAACAAAATTTCTGTCTTCAGAAGTTTTTTTCAACACAGTTTGTGCAGAATATGTTGAGTTAGGAATTTTGTACCACAGAAGTACTAATATTAGTTCCATCACATTATTCTGTTTTACTTCAAATGATCATTTGAGAAAGTGTGTTATTACTGATATCAAAGTCTTCTTAGACTAGTATCAAGTTTAAAACACTGGGAATGTCATTTCTTCTCTAAGCCTTTTCCCCCTAAGTTAACACCTGAACCTTACAGAATGATTTGCAATGTATGTACGTGCAACATCATTACAGAATTTGTTGCCTTTGTAACTTGCCACTTTATCATCTTTAAAAAACACAGAAAGTTACTTTGCAGATCGGGACATGTTGCTCAGCATTTGCACGAACAACTCAGTAATAGAAATGAGCATAGCTGGATGAACCCAAATTGATATCCATTGCCTTATAGAATCATAGAATAATAGAGTTGGATGAGACCACATGGGCCATCCAGTTCAACCCCCTGCCTTGAAGTAAAAGCACAAAGACCTCACAACCTCTGAGGATTCTTGCCATGGATGCAGGCAAAACGTCAGGAGAGAATGCTTCTAGAACATGGTCATATAGCCCGAAAAACCTACAACAACCCAGTGATTCCATCCATGAAAACCTTCGACAATACAATCAAAGTATCTCTGACAGGAAGACCATCCAGCCTCTGTTTAAATGTTTCCAAGAAAGAAGCTTCCACCATTCTCCAAGGCAGAGAGTTCCACTGTTGAACAGCTTCTACAGTCAGGAAGTTCTTCCTAATGTTTTCTGTCATTTGAACCCATTGCTCCTAGTCCTAGTCTCCAGGGCAGCAGAACACAAGCCTGCAACCTCTTCCTTATGACACCCTTTCACGTATTTAAACATGGCTATTATATCCACTCAACCTTCTCTTCTGCAGGCTAAACATACCCAGTTCTTTAAGACACTCCTCATAGGAATTCATGGTCTCCAGACCTTTGATTATTTTAGTCGTCCTGCTCTGGACACCTTCCAGCTTATCAATATCCCTTTTGAATGATGGTACCCAGAATTAGACACGGTATTCTAGGTGAGATCTAATCACAGCTGAATAGGGAGGCACCATGACTTCTCTCGATCTAGACACTATACTCCTTTGGATGTAGTCCAAAATCCTGTTGGCTTTTTTAGCTGCTGCATCACACTGTTGGCTCATGTTCAACTTATTGTCCACAACAACTTCAAGATCTTTCTCACATGGACTGTTGTCAAGCCAGGCATCATCCATCCTGTTTCTTTGCATTTAATTTTTTCTGCCTAAGTGCAGTATCTTACATTTGCCTCTTTTAAGTTCTGATCTATACATACAAACATATCATGCTGGTGATAATACGACAAGAAAACAATGCGCTTCAGTATAAGCCAAAACAGGAAAAGCCAGGCTAACTTATAAGACAGTCAGATTTCCAACATGTTACAACAGGAACCCTTGGTACGGGAGCTTTAATTAAACTTGCTAACCCTGAGGGTTAAGTGAGATGATGTCACAGATTTATATTAATTTAATAAGCACAAAGGAGTTTGCAGGATCAAACAAAAGGTGTTCTTGAAAAGATACTGTATATACTCGAGTATAAGCCGACCTGAATATAAGCCGAGGAACCTAAGTTTATCACAAAAAACTGGGAAAACATATTGACTTGAGTATAAGCCGAGCGTGGGAAATGCTGTACTACTAGTAAATTCCAAAGATTACATTAATTGAGGCATCAGGAGGTTAAATGTTTTTGAATATTTAATATTTTGAATATTTGAACTGTAATTTAAGATAAGACTGTCCAACTCTGCTTACCTATATACTCGAATGTAAGCCGACCTAAATATAAGCCAACCAGGACCCTCACTTGAGTATATTCCGAGGGGGGCTTTTTCAGCCCGAAAAAAAGGGATGAAAAACTCAGCTTATACTTGAGTATATATGGAAGTTGGAATTCTTCATTTCTTCCTGCAGGATTTGTATTGGCAACATGACAGATTTATTTATGCCTCCTGTTAGCAAAGCTTGCAAATAAGAATTACAGCATACACAAATGGAATAACCTGCTGCTAACCACTCATTTCCATTTTGTGAGCAGGACACCTTCCAAATATTAGTTCAATTTATACATAGCTTCCAGAAAAAGAAAAACAGGAAACTTTGTTTTTTACTGGGTTGTTGTAGGTTTTTCCAGGCTATATGGCCATGTTCTGGAGGCATTTTCTCCTGACGTTTCGCCTGCATCTATGGCAAGCATCCTCAGAGGTAGTGAGGTCTGTTGGAACTAGGAAAAAAGGGTTTATATATCTGTGGAATGACCAGGGTGAGACAAAGGATTCTTGTCTGCTGGAGCTAGGTGTGAATGCTTCAACTGACCACCTGCAACAACCCAGTGATTCCGGCCATGAAAGCCTTCGACAATATTTTGTTTTTTAATCTTCAAATAATTCAATTAATTTTGCTGGTACAGCAAAATGAAATACATAACCAGCATGTTTCAACCTTAAGTTCTACCACATATACTATGAAAATTTAATTGAAATTTAATTGCAAACAATGTTTTAAAAGGCCTCCGGTGGCGCAGCAGGTTAAACTGCTGAACTGCTGACCTTGCTGACCACAAGGAGCAGGGTGAGCTTCCACTGTTAGGCCCAGCTTCTGCCAACCTAGAAGTCCAAAAACATGCAAATGTAAGTAGATCAATAAGTACCTCTTCTGCGGGACATGACCTTGGAGGTGTCTACGGACAACACTGGCTCTTTGGTTTAGAAATGGAGATGAGCATCACCCCCCAGAGTCGGACATGACTAGACTTAACGTCAGGGGAAACCTTTATCTTTACCTTAAATGTTTTAAAACAGTTGTATTGATTTTCCTTTCTCATCTAAAATTTTGGAAGACTTTAGGTACAGAGTTAAAGGTCTATTATTATTATTATTATTATTATTATTAACACCACAAGATGAGTCCACAGCAGACACTCTACTGCAGTGGTTCTCAACCTGGGGTCCCCAGTTGTTTTGGCCTACAACTCCCAGAAATCCCAGCCAGTTTACCAGCTGTTAGGATTTCTGGGAGTTGAAGGCCAAAAACATCTGGGGACCCCAGGTTGAGAACCACTGCTCTACTGGCTGTTGTATTGGATCACACGTCGGACACTTCCCAAGTGTCTAGGACTGTGTGATGTATTGGTGAATAATGCTTGCAGATCCCAGTAAGGTGGCCTTTTGCAGCTGGCAGATGGTAAATTTGTCAGCTCCGATTGTGTTTAAGTGCAGGCAAAGGTCTTTAGGTACTGCACCCAGTGTGCCGATCACCACTGGAACCACCCTTACTGGTTTGTTCCAGAGTCTTTGCAGTTCGATCTTTAAATCCTCATATCGTGTCATCTTTTCCAATTGTTTCTCTTCAATCCTTATTATTATTATTATTATTATTATTATTATTATTACCCCACTTTATCTCCCCAAAGGAACTCAAAACTGCTTTTATTAAAATGAAGCATATTGAATTCTCAAGCTGAGAACTGTTTTCACAGGATTGGCTTCCCTGTTACTTTTTCCAGGTATGGTCAGCCATCCATATTTGCTGAAGTTAGAGGAACAGACTACCATAAAAGTGAAAACCCATGAACTAGCTATATTTTATCGGAGATAACATCTCTCTAGGAATTTCTAGGTCCTCTATTATGACTCTATGATCAACTTCCATTGACCACAGACCCATACTGGAGGACCAATAAATTCCTAGAGATGCTCTTTCTAGGAATCAATAAGGATACAGCATAATGTCTGGAGGAAGTTGACCATGGAGTCTCAATGGAGGACCTAGAGATTGCTAGAGGGAAAATGTAAATCAAATCTATGCATAATCAAAACTGGAGAAGTCAACCCCACAAATGAGGAGGGCTGACTGCACAGCAATAATATTTTTGTGAGAATTTAAATTTAATAGCTATGGATTACAGAATATGACTGATAAGAGAAGCTAGAGCAGGCTGAGGGGGAAAGGAAAGGGCCTGAGGTTGTTAGGAATTGTGGGAGTTGGAGTCCAAAACACCTAGAGGGCCAAAGTTTGCCCATGCCTGAGTTAGTGGATATTTTATATATCGGAACTGCTTTAACACAGATAGAAATTGAGTAAAGATGGGAATTTATATAATATATTAATAAAACTTTATTTATATAGCACCTTATATCCCCGAGGGGACATTTCAGAAACCTCTGCACCATGTAATAACTTATGCATAGTGTTGGGAAAGCGTAGTTTTTCTCTACCTCTCATAATAAAAAAAGGCATAGTCATCCACCAGATTCAAGAGATAAAAGGAAGCAGTGTTCATCACACAATGCACAGAAGACAGGGCCTTTTCAGTGGTGGCCCCTCTGTGATGGAACGCCCTCCCCAGGGATATAAGATCAACTCCCTCCTTTCTAAAATTCTGCAAAACGGTTAAGACCTGGTTCTTCGAGCAAGCTTTTTCTACTGGAGCACAATTAGATGGAAACGAATATATGGAATGACTGACGATGCAACTGGACAACTATTTTAGTAAGGAGATGCTGAGGATCTTGTTTTTACAGATATATTTGCTTTTTATATTAAATTTTAAATGTTGAATTGTTTTTATAATTGTTTTAACTGTATTTGATATTTGTTATGGCATCGAATTGCTGCCGTCTGTGAACCACCTTGAGTCGCCTCTGGCTGAGAAAGGCGGCATACAAATGCGGTAAATAAATACATAAATAAATACATGGCAGAAACACTTGTATTTACTACCACACAACACAGTAATAGCTGCTAGCAAGAATGACAGTAGCCACAAGTATGACAAAAACCCTGCTGTGTGTCGTCACTCATACTGGTTTCTGCACTGTAGAATTAATACAGTTTGATAGCACTTTAACTGCCATGGCTCCATGCTATGGAATCCTGGGATCTGTACTTTGTTCTGGCACCAGCACCATGTAAAACTACAATTGCCATGGCATTGAAACTATTCCTACCACCTTTCAATGATTTGCTTTACTTCTACTCAACAAATATAGATGGGGGATGTTGTGGTTGTTCAGGAACTGGCATATTCTGAGAACCAGACTGGGTGAAGACTAGATGAGATTACACATTACATTGTGTGTATGCATGTGCCTTCAAGTCACTTGGGGACATGGTTTCTTTAGACAAGCAATCCTCAGAGATGGTTTCACCAGTGTCTTCCTTTAAAATATAGGTGGTAGGACCTGATATTCATTGCCTGTCTCCCATCCAAGCACTAACCAGAGTTGGCCCTGCTTAGCATCCACAATCAGGGAGGATCTGGTGCCTTTAGGGCAGTGTTTCTCAACCTGGGGGTTGGGACCCCTAGGGGGGTCACGAGGGGGTTTCAGAGGATCGCCAAAAGACCACCAGAAAACATATATTTCTGATGGTCTTAGGAACCCTTTTTGAAGAGAAGGCTGAAGATCTTGGTGAAAGTATGATAGCTGGGACCCGCCACCTGTCCTTCTCTTCCTTTTTGGAAACAGATAAAGAATCCTCCCACCAAAAGCCATATTCTGCTGTGATTGGCAAGCCTTTCAGCCAAGGGGAGGGTTATTTCTGAGACTCCAAGTGGAGAAGGGAGAGCAGGCTGCTTGGTGCATAGCAGCGTGGTGCGCACATGCAGATGAAGGAGAGCGTGTGAGGCTGGAGGGAGGTTCATGCCAACGAGTCCCTTCAAGGCTTGGGGGTTCTGTGTGGGAAGTTTGGCCCAACTCTATCACTGGTGGAGTTCAGAATGCTCTTTGATTGTGGGTGAATGATAAATCCCAGCAACTACAACTCCCAAATGTCTATTTTCCCCCAAAGTCCACCAGTGTTCACATTTGGGCATATTGAGTATCCGTGCCAAGTTTGGTCCAGATCCATCATTGTTTGAGTCCACAGTGCTCTCTGGATGTAGGTGAACTACAACTCCCAAACTCAAGGTCAATGCCCACCATACCTTTCCAGTGTTTTCTGTTGGTTATGAGAGTTCTGTGTGCCAAGTTTGGTTCAACTCCATCATTGGTGAAGTTCAGAATGCTCTTTGATTGTTGGTGAACTATAAATCCCAGCAACTACAACTCCCAAGTGATGAAATCAATTCCCCCCAATGCCACCAGTATTCAAATATTGGATACTTGTACCAAATTTGGTCCAGTGAATGAAAATACATCCTGCATATCAGATATTTGGAGCCCCCGGTGGCGCAGTGGGTTAAAGCACTGAGCTGCTGAGCTTGTTGACTGAAAGGTCGCAGGTTCAAATCCGGGGAGCAGCATGTCAGCCCCAGCTTCTGCCAACCTAGCAGTTCGAAAACATGCAAATGTGAGTAGATCACTAGGTACCGCTCCGGCGGGAAGGTAATGGTGCTCCATGCAGTCATGCCGGTCACATGACCTTGGAGGTGTCTACGGACAACTCCGCCTCTTCGGCCTAGAAATGGAGATGAGCACCACACCCCAGAGTTGAACACAACTGGACTTAATATCTGCGGAAAACCTTTACCTACCTTTACCTTATATCAGATATTTACGTTACAATTCATAACAGTAGCAAAATTGCAGTTATGAAGTAGCAACAAAAGTAATGTTATGGTTGAGGGTCACCACAACATGAGGAACTGTATTAAGGGGTCGCGGCATTAGGAAAGTTGAGAACCACTGCTTTAGGGTACAACACATTTCCCTTTCCTTATTATCAGCAGCAAGAACCGAAATGGCAGGACTGAAAAAACACCAGAAACTCACATGCAGAACCTTCTTAATTACTGGACCCTTTCCTTGTCAGGGGGTCCTTCCACACAGCCCTATATCTCAGAATATCAAGGCAGAAAATCCCACAATATCTGCATTGAACTGGGTTTCCTGAGTCCACACTGCCACACATCCCAGTTCAAAGCAAATATTGTGGGATTTTCTGCCTTGATATTCTGGGATATAGGGCTGTGTGGAAGGGCACACACCTATCTTCCCATCTTCAGAACCTTTTGCTCTTAACCTTCTCCTCCTCCTCTTTGGAGTATGGGGCGCACACACTTGGAGTGGCATTCTCTGGACCCTTGTCATGCTATCCCTGTCCACCCATCCATGGCCCTCATTCCGGGAGAGCCTCCCCACCCCCTCTCTCACCTCGGTGGGGGGAACAAACCGGGCTGCCCTCTTCTCCGACGGCTCCCTTTCTCCGGCGAGGCGAGCGAGCCCTTACTCCCAGCTTGACTTGGCAGCTTCCTTCGCAGCCTGCCTTGCCTTGCCTGGCCTTGCCTAAAAGCGAAGCTCCTCCTTGTTCCCCAGAAGCGGGTGATTGGAGACACCCCCGCAAAGGAGAGAGAGAGCTCAGGTGTTTGATGCATCTACTACCCTGTAGATGTTGATGATGCCACCTAAACTGCCCTGGCTCAAGGCTATGGAAGCAACGAGAGGACTATGGCTGCCTCTGGCAATTCTTCACATGGAGGAAGAAGTGAAATAAAAGACCCCTATTTTGAAGAAATGCTCTGAGGTTATTTCTTTGAAGAAAATATTTTATGATGAGTAATTCATCTTATTTTAATTAAGTTAGGGCAGTGGTTCTCAACTTTGCTAATGCCGTGACCCCTTAATGCAGTTCCCTATGTTGTGGTGACCCCCAACCATAATATTGTTTTCGTTGCTACTTGATACCTGTCATTTTACTACTGTTATAAATCATAATGTAAATATCCGATATGCAGGATGCATTTTCATTCACTGCACTAAATTGAGCACAAATACCCAATATGCTCAAATGTGAATGCTACTGGGGTTGGGGGAAGGATTGATTTTGTCATTTGGGAGTTGTAGCTGCTGGGATTTATAGTTCAGTTATAATCAAAGAGCAATCTGAACTCTACCAGTGCTGGATTTAAACCAAACTTGACACACAGATCTCCCATGATCAACAGAACACTGGAAGGGTTTTGTGAGCATTGACCTTGAGTTTGGGAGTTGTAGTTCACCTATACCCAGAGGAGTGCTGTGGATTCATGCAATGATGGATCTGGACCAAACTTAGCACGAATACTCACTATGCCCAAATGTGAACACTAGTAGAGTTTGGGGGAAATAGACACTGACATTTTGGAGTTGTAGTTGCTGGGATGTATAGTTCACCTACAATCAAAGAGTATTCTGAACCTCACCAACGATAGAATTGGGCCAGACTTCCCACACAGAACCCCCATGACCAACAGAAAATACTGTGCTTTCTGATGGCCTTTGGCGACCCCTCTGACACCCCCTCATAACCCCCCTCAGGGTCCCGACCCCCAGGTTGAGAACCACTGGGTTAGGGTGACCATGACATTTTGAGTGTGTTCCATTTTTCTTTCATATTAAGGAATTAGAAAGTATTTGGATAAAGTCAAATGTCTTGCTGTCTCTATTAACAGTTGGGGTTGAGCGCCTGACTGTTAATAGCTGTTAAAAAAACAGCTGTTAAAAAATGCCCAGGTCACTGTTGACCTAAGCAGTTCGAAAACAGCTGTGAGTAGAGGAATTAGGGACCGCTTAAAAGCGGGGAGGCTAATTTATAACACCATAATAATGCCGGAGAGCAAGGAGGAAATACTACGATCAAAGACGTCATAGTTGATGAAGCGACAACTCTCCCTGTGGCCGAATCGAGCAACCTCCAGGTTCCGAAATGGAAGAACTGCTGAATGGCCTTTATCTGTCTTTATGTCTTGTATGTCAAAAACGGCACTGAATGTTTGCCGTGTACATGTACATTGTGATCCACCCTGACTCCCCTTTGGGGTGAGAAGGGCAAAATATAAATACTGTAAATAAATAAATAAATAAATAAATAAATAAATAAATAAATAAGGAATTCCAAAGTCAAGGTGGTGGAGTTGGTGAGTCAACATGGGTACATTGTCCTGTGCAGATAGGGACATGTTATCATAGAATCATAGAATCATAGAGTTGGAAGAGACCTCATGGGCCATCCAGTTTAACCCCCTGCAGGAAAATCGCATTCAAAGCACCCCAGACAGATGGCCACTTAGCCTCTGCTTAAAAGCCTCCAAAGAAGGAGCCTCCACCACACTCTGGGACATCTTCCAAATGATCAGGTGGAATCTCCTTTCTTGTCATTTGAAGCCATTGTTCAACGTCCTAGTCTCCAGGGCAGCAGAAAACAAGCTTGCTTTCTCCTCCCTATAGCTTCCCCTTGCAGATTTATACATGGCCCTCATCATGTCTCCTCTCAGCCTTCTCTTCTTCAGGCTAAACATGCCCAGCTCTTTAAGCTGCTCCTCATAGGGATTGTTCTCCAGACCCTTGATCATTTGAGTCACTCTCCTCTGGACACATTCCACCTTGTCAACATCTCCCTTCAATTGAGTCTCCTTCGGGTTGAGAGGGGCAGTATAAAAATACCGCAAATAAATAAATTGCGATGCCCAGAACTGGACACAGTATTCCAGGTGTGGTCTGACCAAGGTGGAATAGAGGGTTAGCATGACTTCCCTGGATTTAGACACTATACTCCTATTTATGCAGGCCAAAACCCCATTGGCTTTTAAAGCTGCTGCATGACATTGTTGGCTCATGTTTAACTTGTTGTCCATGAGGACTCCAATATCTTTTTCACACTTACTACTATTGAGCCAGGCATCGTCCCCCATTTGGTATCTTTGCATTTCATTTTTTCTGCTTAAGTGGAGTATCCTGCATTCATCCCTGTTGAACTTCATTTTGTCAGTTTTGGCCCATTTCTCTAATCTGTTCAGATCGTTTTGAATTTTCCTTCTGTCTAGAGTATTGGCTATTTCTCCCAATTTAGTGTCATCTGCAGACTTGATGATCATGCCTTCTAACTCTTCATCTAAGTCATTAATAAAGATGTTGAACAGGACTGGGCCCAGGACGGAACCCTGCTTATGGCACTCCACTCGTTACTTCTTTCCAGGATGAAGAGGAAGCATTGGTGAGCACCTTCTGGGTTCGTTCACTTAACCAATTATAGATCCAGCTACCATCGTTTTGCCTAGCCCACCTTTGACTAATAAGTGGAAACCAAGTGGAAATACTTGTTTTGGTAACTAAAATGAGAACGAAGATATTTTAATATATAAACTTGGTGTGAAGCATGAAAGTAAGGTTTACATTGTCTATAACATATAATTCATCTTTATATTCTTTTTTAAAATGTAATAAATGGTCTGTGTGTGGCACTAAGAACCTTGGCACGACACTGTCCTAAACCTGAAGTCTGTAGGCACATTACAGGTTGCAATATTACTTTTGGTTGAAAACTCAGTAAGTTAGAAGAGCACCTGGTATTCAATTTCTAAAGTGCAGAATTTTGGGATTAGTCTGCCTAGAATAGGCATGGGCAAACTTGGGCCTTCAAGGTGGTTTGGACTTCAACTCCCACCATTCCTAACAGCTGGTAGCTGTTAGGAATGGTGGGAGGTGAAGTCCAAAACATCTTGAGGTCATTAAATGCTAATCAAGGTGGCCAATAGCAACATTCACACCTACCTCCAACAGACAAGAGTTCTTTCTCCCACCCTGGACATTATTCCACAGATATATAAACCCAATTTTCCTAGTTTCCAACAGACCTCACAACCTCTGAGGATGCCTGCCATAGATGCAGATGAAACATCAGGAGAGAATGCTTCTGGAACATGGCCATGCTGCCCGGAAAACTCACAACAACCCAGGTCCATGTGTCCTAATCCCAACTAGCATAGGGCTAAATAATCAGTGAACATATGCAAGTGTTGGTTTATCATGTTCCCATTAATTCATCAGTTCTGGATTTAGGCCATAACTATTGAGGTTTTGCAAATATCTTACAAAACAAATGTGCTCCTTGGAGGCTGTTACTACTGCAAAACAACTCACAGTTCACAGTTCAATTTAGATCTCAGAATGAGGGACATCCCTCCCCACACAAAATATTTTAGGCTGATGAAAACGTGTACACCATGCGCTATTTTACTTGTATTCTTAACACTTATTTCCAAATCATGGTTCTTCCTTGTACTTGATTACATCTTTTCTTTTCTTGCACAATTCTGATACAATTGTACATTCCCTTTATGGGGTTGTGGTTATGATTAATCAAGATGATCAAGCACATGTCGCTACACATTCTGTATTTTTCCAAAAAATAATGCAGTCTCTTAATAGATTTAGGGAAGGAGCCTATGAGTCAGTTTTCTTCGTACTCAGCACACCTGTATTCCTGTATTATGCAAATGTAATGGCTAATAAATCCCGGAAACAAAGAAAAGTTTCCTGGGTTAAACCAGTGCCAGACCCCAGCACCTCTCTATGGTTGGTTCTGCCAGTCAGAGGTCTATAGTTTAGTACAAGATTGCTGAAATCATCAAGCACTTCCCTGTCTTTTAATCCCCCACACCAAAAGTATGTCTGTCCATAGTCCCAATAATAATAATAATAATAATAATAATAATAATAATAATAATCTTTATTTATGTACCGCTTTATCTCCCCTAAGGGATTCAGGGCAGTTTCCATATATGCAAAATAACACAGAAAATATACAGAGTATCCAAAGCATAGGCATAAAATTATTAACACAAACATATAAATTAAAACTAGTTCCAACACCATTCTGTCATACGGAATAAGCTGCTAGGGGCCAGAGTTTGAAAGTGGGCCTAGATCGTCTGAGGGGACTGGGCCGAGACTAGTGCAGAGAAAATATAGGGCTTGGGAAATGGAGAAGGTGCAAGGGCCAGTCCTAACAATGGCCATAGTGGGGCCTGGGGCTACTCCTTTTCAGGACTGATTAATGAGTAATGAAAAGGACTGGACCACAGCGAGTACTCCGAGATGACAGCGGATCATGGAAGAGAGTGAAGTGCAAGGCCAAGTCCTAGCTAATGGCCTGGGGCCTGGGACTAGTGACTAGTCGTTTTTAAAGGCCTGGTGAAACCACTAAGTTTTCAAGTTATTTTGAAAAGAGGAGAGTGATGTGGCCTGTCTGGGGAGGGCATTCCAGAGGTGGGGGGCCACCATCGAGAAGGCCCTCTGCCTCGTCCCCACCAGCCAGGCTTGAGACAGTGGTGGGAGCGAGAGAAGGGCCTCCCAGGAGGATCTTAGGGTTCGCACCGGTTCATAGAGGGAGATGAGATCACGGAGCTAGGTGGGGCCTGAACCATTTAGGGCTTTATAGGTCATAACCAGCACCTTGAATATGGCTCAGCGACTTATTGGCAGCCAGTGAAGTTATTTTAATAGGGGCGTTGTACACTCCCTATAGAT